ATTAAAAATAGAATAGATAGATAGATAGATAGATAGATAGATAGATAGATAGATAGATATTAAATAGCTCTGTTACTTAACATTGGCCACTGTTTTTCTTACCGAATAGAGTATTTCTATGTATTTCGGTTAGTATCTGTCTATATTTCTGAGATGAGGTATTATGTACACTATTTAGATTATTCGGACTTTTGTCCTCATCTTGGTCGCCATATCCATCACAACGTTTCGCTTTTCAGTATCAGTCTATATTTCTGAGATGAGGTATTATGTACACTATTTACATTATTCGGACTATTGTCGTCATCTTTGTCGCCATATTTATTACTACGTTTCGGCCTTTCAGTATCTGTCTATATTTCTGAGATGAGGTATTATGTACATTATTTACATTATTCTGACTATTGTCCTCATCTTTGTCGCCATATTTATTACAACGTTTCGGCCTTTCAGTATCTGTCTATATTTCTGAGATGAGGTATTATGTACACTATTTAGATTATTCGGACTTTTGTCCTCATCTTGGTCGCCATATCCATCACAACGTTCCGCCTTTCAGTATCAGTCTATATTTCTGAGATGAGGTATTATGTACACTATTTAGATTATTCGGACTATTGTCGTCATCTTTGTCGCCATATTTATTACTACGTTTCGGCCTTTCAGTATCTGTCTATATTTCTGAGATGAGGTATTATGTACATTATTTACATTATTCTGACTATTGTCCTCATCTTTGTCGCCATATTTATTACAACGTTTCGGCCTTTCAGTATCTGTCTATATTTCTGAGATGAGGTATTATGTACACTATTTACATTATTCGGACTATTGTCGTCATCTTTGTCGCCATATTTATTACTACGTTTCGGCCTTTCAGTATCTGTCTATATTTCTGAGATGAGGTATTATGTACACTATTTACGCTATTTACAGAGCCCAGCTGTAGATCATACTGTAACTATACTGAACGAAAGTGGGAGAGAGGGCGTTATCTAGCGTGATCAACAGTTCGAACAAATCCAACACGCTCAAACCCTCGCCACGATGACTTATAATAAACAGTATTAACTACATTTACCGGTGTGAATGTCCGAGAAATTTTATCGAAAATATATAATAAGAAATGTTTACTCATTTATAAATGAGTAAAACATTTCTTCGGTTAGTTATTCTAAAAATCGCTTAAGAATGAAACTGTGCTCTAAATTTCAAGTATGATTAAACTCGAGGATTGGAGTTTCAGTTTCGAAACATAGTAATTCCTGTGACGCGATGGAATCATATTTTAAAAAATAATTATAATGTTAAGCTCTACTTCCGTCAATCATCGCATTGAAAACATTGAGATAAGCTATCACATGAACCTAGAGTAAGAACCTTAGCCTGTAAGCACCGAAGTCAATCATCGCATTGAGATCATTGAGATAAGCTATCAAATGAACCTAGAGTAAGAACCTTAGCAATTAACCACCAAAGTCAATCATCGCATTGAAAACATTGAGATAAGCTATCAAATAAACGTCTGTTTTTTGCGGGGTTTTTTTAAATTTATAATAGAAATTAAAATTATTTTTTGTCCACTTATCTTGCCATTAAAGATGAATTCAGTATAATATTAGAAATTAAATTTGATGGTAGGTGGAGAGCGTTAGCAAAAAGGTTACGCCCAAAGGGGGCGCTGGTTGAAAAAATTTTTGAAACAGTTATCTAAAGTATGTTACATTAGTTCCGTTGTATATAGTTCTTATATTTACATTGTTCATGGTGAAATTTTACAAGGTAGTAGTTTTTAGTTTTCGATTTTAGGTAACGTAGTAAAAGTTTGTTTTCGTTTCTGCATTTTGAGATGAGTTCTGATCGTTTATTTTAGTTATTTGTGTTGGAAGATTATTATAGTTATTTTCTCCCCCAAACAAAGTTTACATTTTTGGTTTTATTGTTGTAGGCAGATACTTATTTTCCGGGATATTTTTGTGCAATTTGTTTTTTTGCTTTTTTTTTTAATTTATCATATATGTTTAGAAAGTGTTGTGCTGCTCGCGTATTTACTACTTATAAAGGATTTTTTCTGTTTCAAGGATACATCAGTTACTCCTAGGTATATTTTTCTTCGTTATATGTTTATTTTACAGAGGCTTGGTATATTATATTGTTTCGAAAGCAACTGCCATTTAAGGGACATTCGTTCTTTGCTCTGTGATTAGAGGTGGGTTTCATTTATGTGGGTGTTTTTTTATCTGTGTCGTGTTCTCGGTGCAAGTGTAAGTGATTTTTAGTGGGTTTCTTTTGAGAGGAATGTGTGTATGTGTCTAATATTATAACAACTACGTTTTTACAATCATATGGTTCGACCCACCGTAGATAGATAGATAACGGACAAAAATGGATGGATAATAAACATAGATAGATAGATAGATAGATGAACAAAGATAAATAATAAATAAGATAAGATAATTAACAATGAACAATGATAGATAGATAGATAGATAGATAGATAGATAGATAGATAGATAGATAGATAGATAGATAGATAGATAGATAGATAGATAGATAGAGATAGATAGATGAACAATGATAGAAAGAAAGAAAGAAAGAAAGCAAGAAAGAAAGAAAGAAAGAAAGGAAGGAAGAAAATGAACAAAGATGAATAATGTCAAAGATAGATAATCAACAATGAACAAAGGTAGATAAATAGATAGATAATGAGCAAAGATAATGTCAACTATAGATAGATAACGAAAAATGAACAATGAACAATGAACAATGATAGATATATAATAGATAGAAGATAGAAGATAGAAGAAAGCAAGAAAGAAACTGTGATAAAGAAAGATAGAAGATAGAAGATAATGAAACTGAAAGATGAATAGATAGATAGATGATAGATAAAAGAGATAGATAGATAATAATGAACAAACTGGTAGATATAATATAGATAGATAGATAGATAGATAGAAAGATAATGATAATTCAAAGTTAGATAGACAATGAACAAGATAGAAATAACGAAAAAATGAACAAAATGAATAACAAAATGAACAATGATAGATATATATAGTCAACTATAGATAGACGAAAAAAATAATGTCAACTATAGATAGATAACGAAAAATGAACAATGAACAATGAACAATGATAGATATATAGATAGATAGATAGATAGATAGATAGATAGATATGAACCGAGATAGATAGATAATGAATAGATAGATAGATAGATATAATGAATAGATAGATAGATAGATAGATAGATAGATAGATAGATAGATAATGAACCGACTGAGATAGATAGATAGATAGATAGATAGATAGATAGATAGATAGATAGATAGATAATGTGTTTGATTTAGAATTCACTTCTGTTTTACTCTTTTTATTATAATTTCAATTTTCATTTACTGTTATCATTCGTCTTAATAATAATAATAATAATAATAATAATGTTTAGATTTTCTTTTCTGAGTATTAACCCTAATTTAATTAGATTTCCTTTTGTGATTATTCTTATTTTTATTAATCTTCTGTTTGTAAATATTCCTTTATTCCCTTCGTCTTTCGATTTTGTTTGGTTTTATCTCCCATTTATTAGCACTATTATTAAGATAATGTAGTTTTATTACGATGAGAAAAGCATCCGGACATTTGGCGCGCAATTTCCGTATGTATCTCACAAACACGTCTAACTTAACCGTCCAGTCGTCTTTTCGTCAGGCTGTCTGTCTGTCTATCAGACCGAGCGTCTTTCTGTCCATCAAAATGTCTCTGCTCTTCTGTTTAATGGCGCTGTCTGTCGCTTTTTTTTTATCTTTTACACGCCACGCTTTTGTCACGCTTGCTTGAATTCGGAGCGCGTGCAATCACAGATTCCCTTCGCACTGCGCATGCGCTGATCAGCCATTGCGAGTTCGAAGCAGGCGTACCATAACGGTCTTTTGGTTGGCTTTCTTTCTGATGGCTAAAAAATGATAATGATATTTATTTATTTATTTATTTTGCTGTATATTGGTGAACGCCACCATGTTTCAGAGAAATGTCTGACGACGAGAGAGGACAAGATAGAAAAAAAGAAATAATATCTTTTGTTTTTCTCTTGACGTCGCTGTTTGAGACCGGCTTGCTCTTAAAAATTCAAGGAAGGGAAAGAAAATTTTACATTCACTGAACTGTGAACGTTTTTTTTTGTTTGTTTGTTTGTTTGTTTTTTTTTTCAATTATGAAATGGAAACTAACAGCGAAGTTTGACGTGACGGAGGACATGATGCAGGGGTCACTTTAAAGCAAGTTAGATTTGGTCGGAACCAAACAAGGGCGTGGTTACCGACTGTCTTAAAAACGGATGACGTTTAAGAGAGGCTTTATGTCAGGACCTGGACTGGGAAGGACCATCAATTTTCAATTCCCCATAAATGAACAGACAAGCCATCAATACCCCATGACGTCATGGTTTTTTGGACCAGACTGACACGTATTGTAAGGTTTAAATAAATATCTTATATGACCATCCAGTAAAAGCTTTTCTCAAATTAACAGTTTTGCTTCTATTATAATTAGGAATAAATAGTAAATATATAATAACTTTGAAAATGTCGTTTCCCTTCAAGATGCAGGCGGTTATGACTATCCATATTTTCTTTCCTTTCATTTTTCTGTGAATTTTTCTCTGCTACTGAAATTCATTGGGATCGCCAAAGATGAATTCGAAAAGCTAAGCAGAGTATTAAGAAACAGGAAACATTCGTTAGAAATAAAGAAAAGAGTACTGAACAGTTATGTAATACCAAACTTCCTAGATAGCAGTAGGTTCAGAGAACAGAAAGTGTGACACTGAAAACCGAAGGCGCATTGACATAGCCAAAGATGCCTTCTAAAAGCTAAGCAGAGTAATAAAAAACAGAAAAAAAATCGTTAGAAACGAAGAAAAGAGTACTGAACAGTTACGTTCCTCCTATATGGCAATGAATACTGGACAATCTTCTCAAAGATAAAGAAGAGACTTGAATCAACAAAAGTGTGGTTCTACCGAAGGATGCTGAGAATACTAAGGACTGAACATGTAAGTAATGACGAAGTTTTATTGAAAGTGGAAACAAAAAGAAAACGTATGCTTAACACCACGAAGAGACAATTGAAATTTCTAAGGCATATAATGAGGAAAGAAGGTTTAGGGAATTTGATACTCACAGGAAAGATTGAAGGCAAGAGGGACAGAGGAAAACAACGCATAACATACTTAGTAAATGAATGGCATAACAAGGTTTAGTTGAGATAAAATGCAGACAAAATTTTGTTTAATGAACAGGAAATTGTGGAGAGCCATCATCTCTTACATCCTGAAGGAACACGGTACATAAGAGATGAAGAATTAGACTGAGTAAATGAATGGCGGTACAAGGTTTAGGAGAGATAACAAAAAGACAAAATTTATGAAACGCTACAAACGACAGGAAATTGTGGAGGACCATGATCGTCAACATCCTAAAGGGACACAGCACATAAAAGATATAAGAACTAGGAAGTGTAAATGAATGGCGGAAGAGGTTGTAGGAGAGCTAACATAAAACAAAATTTATGAAGCGATACAAAGGACAGGAAATTGTGGAGGGCCATGATTGTCAACGTCCTGAAAGGATTTGGCACGTGAAAGTTGAAGAACTAGGCTGAGTAAATGAATGGCGGTACAAGGTTTAGCAGAGATAACAAAAAGACAAAAATTATGAAGCTATACAAAGGACAGGAAATTGTGGAGGGTCATGATTGTCAACGTCCTGAAAGGACACGGCACATAAAAGATGAAGACCTGGGCTGAGTAAATGAACGGCGGAACAGGTTTAGGAGAGATGACAAAAAGCTAAAATTTATTAAGAGCTGCAAAGGACAGGAAAGTGTGGAGGACCATGATCGTCCTGAAGATGAACAGCACATAAAAGATGAAGAAATAGGCTGGATAAACAGAGCAGAGATTCTCAACAAGTGTGAAAATCACCCCCAGTGGGTGAATTTGGGATTATCAGGTGTGAATTGTGACCAGAATAAGCTTAGGGGGAGGAGATCAATTATCCTACCCGCCCTGTCAACTTGAAAAGGATTTGGGGCTGGGAGATCAGATATAAGCATCTTTTTATTATTTTTAATCTTACTATAGATTCAGCAGGGCAGATTACGTACATTGTTTTTTCTTTTATTTTTAATCAATTCACCCCAAGCAAGGCGATAATGCCACTAAGACGCGAAGGAGTTACTGAGAGTGAAAGTGAATGAGAAGACTTTAAGAGGAAGCGGAGGCCAATCCGAAACAGAAAACAAGCGATAAACGAGACCTGTAACCCATTAGGGTCTAAGGGGCAACACATGTACTGCATCCTTAGCAGCAGTGGTGTGTCTTTGGCAAGAGAGCCTGACACAGCACAACCCTCTCCAGAGTAGTTTTGAATTTAGACTTTTTCCAAGACGGGTTGCCAAGTATATAGGACCCTGTGTGTCTTGCTGTTTATCCATAACTTATAAGAGATTATTATCTGCCTTTTCCAAGGGTATTGGCACGTAAGTGAATGTAATGAACTCGAGCAGAATTCGAACTCGGTTCTCCAAATTCTCAATCAGCTATCCATTACGCCACCGTGCTCCCTAAAAGCTCCACACCTGTTCAGAAGAAATGTGATTTTTTTTTACTGGTTAATTCATTATAAAGTGAACACGTGCTACAGAAGGTAAAAAAAAAAATCCTCAAACTGCGCCATTTCTTAACATCTAAAAAATAAGATTTTTCTTTTTTAAATTTTTTAAAAATTTCAAAAAATTAATGATTCAGCTTCACAGTTTTCCTTCTGATATATATATATATATATATATATATATATATATATATATATATATATATATATATTGAGAAACAAGTAGAAATTTAAAAAAAGCATTTATGAGCACAAAAAGAGACCTCACAAAAAAAACAGCTTAGCTAATGCACTAGTCATACATAGAAATTCAACCATAATTTTGATTTTAAAAATGCTACACTCATAAAAAAAGAAAATAACGCACTCAGAAAAAAAATTCTAGAGAGTGCCGCCATTGAATATTACCCAAATATTAATATACGCCTAGGTTTTTTCCCTATTTCACCTTTCTTAATAAAATTAGTGCTCTCCCAAACAAACGTACACAACAATATCATAAAATCAAAAGAAAATGGTTGAATCCGTTAACACAGCTATAATGACAATATTCTCCACACGTGACAATAACTGACGTTATTTTCAGTTAACAATATGAAAATAGCGTACTCTACATTCCTCCAGTTGCTAAGAACATTCTGTTTTTTGTTATTTGTTACTTTCTTTAATTAAATTCATTTCGTTTTTTGCTTTGATAAAGTCCGCATTGGACGAAACGCGTCAGCACTAACTGCAGTTTTCCTATTGTCATTTATATTTATATATATATATATATATATATATATATATATATATATATATATATATATATATATATATATATATATATATATATATCTTATTTGATATATATATATAATTTGTATATATATATATATATATATATATATATATATATATATATATATATATATATATATATAGGTATCCTCGATTAATGCTCAATTGATTAATGCGTTTCCGACTAGTGCTCTAAAAATTTATATACCAAAATTTAATTAGTGCAAACATAATACTCGATTAGTTTAGTAAAATATTCTTCAGTTTAACCATAGTAATTGAAAATTGATTTCTTTATAGTTATCCATGTAAAATTACCTTCACTAATGGAAGAAATCCCCCTATATATATATATATATATATATATATATATATATATATAATATATCTTTTATATATATATATATATATATATATATATATATATATATATAAAGATATATTATATATATCACAAATATATATATATATATTTGATATATATAATATATCTTTTTATATATATATATATATATTTCTCTTATTTGTGATATATATATTTTATATATAAAAATATATATATATATATATATATATATATATATATATTATAATTATAATTATAATTTTTTAATATATTGATTTGCTATATAAGAGTTATCATGTTTCAAAAACAGGAGTCCAAAACTTCAATATAATTATTAAAATTAAATTGAATGTTTCAAGCTCTGCTTCATCTACAAGCGAAATTTTTGGAATAACTAATCTTGAAATTTACGCATCTTTATAAGCATATTCATTCGTAAAATTAATTACTATGGAATTAATTACTAATCTAAAAAAAAGTAATTTTAAAAACATAATTATAATTATATTATAATTATAATTTACGATCTACTTTTGTATTGAGCAATATTTTTTAAAATAAAAGCAAAAATATTAAAGAATTTCTGATTATTTACTTAACATGCTCTTTCCTATTTTCTATATATTTGCACACACACACACACAAACACACACACACGCGCACACACACACACACACACACACACACACACACATATATATATATATATATATATATATATATATATCAGCATGGCTCGGCGTTGCCCTTGCTTGATTCAAAAATCGTACAACTCATATAGCAATCGTTATCACTTGACTTAAAATATTGTTGCCCTTCCTTGCCTTTAAAAGAGTGCCCTTTGCCATGCTGATGTTGCTACACGCCTTACTTCTTGCCTATCTCACACTGCGAATTTTTTCTAAGCTCAATACTAAACATTAAATCTGTTACGAAAAAAGAACTAAACAAAATAAACACAAAACGATCAGCTTTAAAAAAGGACGCGTAACTGGAAAAACCGAATGAAAAAAGAATGTTAACAACAAATACTTTTTCACACCCAACCCAGTTCTGCGGAATCACAATCAACGTTGAGTTTAATCAAGCGAATGAGCCAATTGGAGTAAAGTGGCATGCAGATTTAAAATTTTTCCCACTTGTGACGAATGCAGCTATCGATTTTTTTTTTGCATGCTAGCATGCTAGTTAATATTCGTGTCAGTCAGCTGTTGGCTCTCACGCTGGCCAATAAAATTTTCCTGCCTATTCGTGGCAGCCAGCTATAGGCTCTCACTCTGGCCAGTAGAAAATGGCCGCAAACTACATGAAAACTGCCGTAGAAGCATGAAAATATCGATTATTTCCACTATCGATGGGAGTTGGGAAATGAAAAGTCGATCTTGGCTTTCCCGCTAAGTAAATGTGTATATGTACGCTACTGTGTATATGCGTATGTATATGTTTGTAAGTGTAGTTAT